AATATCGATATACGTTATATAAACCTTATATTAGATTTACTAGAATATTAATAGAATTATACTAATATAGATAACCCTAGTTACTATAATCGATTTATAAATAGTAATAAAAGAAAACTAATAATAATCTACTAACTCTATTATATTAAAGGACTCTATAAGTTTTATTATAGCTTTTCCGGCTATAATTAGTGTATTTTTTAGTTTATTCTCTTTTTTCTCTTTCTCTCCCTTTTTAGAAGTATCTTTAGCTAGAGACTCTAGGAACTCTTTATTTAGTTAATTAAAGATTATTTATAGATTATAAATATCTCTAATTATACCCTCTATAACCTAAAGAATATTAATATAAATCAAAACAAAATACTACGGAATATATTATATTATATAATATATTATAGATAGAATACTATCGATAGATAACTAAAGCTACTATATCTAGTTTATATTCGATAATAAAAGGTGATTTAGAGTTATATGTCTTAATCTTTATCTAACAGTATTTAGTATACTGGAGAAAGATAATAAAAAGATAATAGAATACGTCGGCTAATATAATAATTAACCAAAATAACAATAACGAGATATAATAATAGTAATAATTATAAAAAGATGATAGAAAGTAATAGAAACAGTAAGAAATATATCACAAAATACAATAAATACTATATAAAAAAAGAAGAAAAAAAGACTTACTACTTAAAAATATATACAAAGACTCGAATATATAATTTAATACGTTTTTATTTACTAGCTAACTATATAATCTCTTTATTGTCTTAATAATAAAGTAAACAAAAACCCTAAAAAAAGATATCGCGTCGACGCGTCTATATTATAGTAACAAAATAAACGTATTAATTAAAACTACCTAATATTAACAAAGAGGATAATTATAAAAGGCCTACAAAAATAGTAAGATATAAGGTTATTCCTAACTAACGGAAGGGGTAGATTAGGTAATATTATATAATCCTAAAAGAAGTTAGAACTTATTACTTAACCTACCCTATAGTAGAATAATCACGATATATAATAGAGAACTTGTTGTTTATATTATCGATAATACATAGAGCGACGAAGATATTATACAATAAATTAATACTCTCGTATCTAGCTAGTAAAATAAGATTTAGTCTTAATAGTAATAAAGATATATTATCTTCCCTCACTCCTTCCCCTTATTTCCTTACCTGATAGGCCTTATACCCTGCCAAGTATAATCTTTGTAATTCTAAATCTTCTTCTTCGATTACCTAAAGAAACAAGATAACCCCACGTACCCAGTCAATTATAATACGCTATAGCAATACACCCGAAGAGATATCGCAAACCTCTCTATTCGGAACTAACCAAACCCGACTAGATAAAAATCTATAGATTACCTAAGAAACGATCAAAAAACTTCAACGTCTATAAGAGTTATAATAAATAGCCCGATAAATAAAAAATCAGATCCAATAAAGGAATACTACCGAACCCTCGGCGAATTAATAACGAAATTAGGGTATACCTCTTATAGAAGATAAAGATAAGATCAGGATTAGAAATATCCTAATATTCTCAATCTATTCCTCTCTTTAGTAGAGAGAAGAATAGCTCTTAGATCTTTCTCTTACCTTTAAAGAAGTACTATAAAAGCATCGTAACGAAGAACGATAAATTATCGTAACTCTATTATATATAAAACCTATTTACCGGTAAAGATAGTACTAGTATATCACCGAGAAACCTAAGAAAGAATAGCGAAACGTTAACGTTTCGTAGACTTATTTTAAAAACTAGACTTTTTCTTTTATCAAAAATACTACGACTCTCGAAATCGATATTATAGAGTAATTATAAAAACTTATTAGTATCTAAAATAGGATCCGCGAGAATCCTCTGTCTTTTTAGACTCGTTAGAGCGATATTTCCCTCGTCAAAGTAAAAAAGAGAGGGTGTTTAAGATATTTTCGAAATTCACCTATAACCTTAGGCGATATATATAGGAATATATACACGAGCTACCTAAAAACCGAGATAGGATAATATCCCTAACTATATATTACTAAAAATTACTTTAATCGATCCAAAAACGAAAATGCCCCGAAACCCTTAAAAATCCTATAAATAAATAATTTCGGATAAATTAATATTAATAAAACCATAAATCCTAAGTTAGGGATCTAAAGAAAAGATTTAGGAAGGAGAAAAGAACCTAATTAGAAAAAATAAGAAAACCCTCCGATATTATATTTATTAAAACGAAGACTATCTCGCGAATTATTATTCTAATAAATTAAGTAAAAAAACTACTATATAAGTAGCTACTTAGATTAAGTTAGAAAATAATAGTAAGTTAATCTAAATTCTATATAGCTAACTCTACTACCTTAAATAGGAACTATGACTCGCCTTTATATTCTAATATAACTACGGAACGAAGTCGAAATATATATAGATATAGATACCTATACTAAGATTAATACCATTAGTATTAAATTCGCCGAAAAATATAAATTGTAGAAAATAAAACTATTATTAATATTATTTAGAATAGTAAATAATCGAGAAACCCCTTTATATTATATATAGAAAATATTTATCACGTTTACCGACTCTTAAGGGATTACTAAATTAATAATTCGCCTTTATCTCGCGATTAATAGACATCTTTATAAATAAGAAAATCTAATCTTACTTTTAATAGTAATATTTATTGAATATCATGTCTATATTTTACTATAAAACCGAAGTTAGTAATTTAAATCTACTAGAATTAAATTAGTACTAATTTAGGAATTTACGAAAGAATATTAAAAACGCGCTATTATTTATATTATTATAAAACTCTTGAAGTTTAGCTGCCCTATAAAAAAAGGAAAAATTAACTATATATCCTTTAGAAGTACCGCCGGAACTATACTGATTTATTAATATTTTCTTAGTAGAACGATCATAATCCTTCTATCTGATAGCTTATAGGATTATACTATCGAGCTAGAAAATAATTATTTATTACCTTACGGACTAATATATTCTCTATTATAAAGCGAATTATAGATATTATAAATCTATGTTAACAAAAACCTTATAAATAAAAAGATTCGATTCTTAAAAAGCCCTACTAAAGCACTAATCCTTTTTATTCTAAAAAAGAATAAAGGATTATATCTATATATAGACTATTAGCGACTTAATAAGGTTATAGTAAAGAATTAATATCTTTTACCTCTAATTTCGGAGATTTTAGATCGACTTTTAGAGATAAAATACTTTAATAAGATTAATATCTAAAATACTTACTATCGTATGCGTATTTAAGAGGGCGAAGAGTACAAGACTATATTTTATACGCAGTATAATTACTTTAAATATATAATTATACTATTTAGCTTAACTAATACTCTTACTACCTTCTAGAATTATATCTATACTATATTATAGGGATAATTTAATATCACTTATATCATATTTAGATAATATTCTAATATTCTTATTAAACCGCGAGTTATATACTCGTTATATCTAATAAATCCTCGAAAGAATAAAAGAAATATGACTTTATATAAAATCTTTAATCCTTTATAAAATAAACCAAACTAAATAGAAGATAGATACGTTAATATATATATCTTATACTATTTAATTTTATAGTTAAGTACTAGTTAAGAAAAAGTAATTCTATAGATAGATTTTCGAGAAAACCTAATTTTATTTAAAGGGACGCTCTAGTAAAAGAATTATTTATACTATTAAAAAAATAGATTATAGCTAAAAAACTATTATCTAGCCTATAGAATTGTAAAGAATATACTTGGCAGGGTATAAGGCCTGTCGATCAGGTAAAGAAACAAGGGGAAGGAGTAAGAGAAGCAGTATATCCTCATTACTGTCAAGACTGAATCTTGTCTTGCCAGCTGGATGCGAGAGTATTAATTTATCATACAACATCTTCGTAACTCCACGCATCATCGATGATGTAAACGACTGGGTCTCTGTTGTGTATCGTGATCATTCCACTGTAGAGTGGATCAAGTAACGAGTTTCGACTTCCCTCAGGGTCATGTGATGTCACCTGATTCACCCCTTCCGTCAGTTGGGAATAACCTCATGCCTTACCATCTTGGTAGACCCTTTACAAGAATACTAATATTTAAATATGTATAGTTATAGTCCTTATTACTAAAAAGCCCTAGTTTAAACCTAATAAAATATTTTTAGAGAAAAGTGATCCTTAGTTTAGTACCTATATAGCAAAGAGTAGAAAAGAGTCTATTAATATAAAAGTAGCTAATTAGGCTATCTAGGTAAAACTTACAAAAAATAAAAGAATACTCTAATATAAGATATAAGATACTTATAAAAAGAGTATACCTATTTAGCAGAAGCTAATACTAAATTATAAATAATAATTAAACGGATCTAAGATAAGGACCTAGAGATATAAAACTAAAAGTCGCGTTAAATTAGATATTTAAAGCATAAAAATTAGGATATTAACCCTAAAAGCCTTATTCGATTTAAAAATCGACTCTTTATCCTAATAGAGGGGAATTTTAGAAAGAAAATACTAAATATACATTATAATAATCCTTTCTAGGCTATTTCAGGCGAAATAGGACCGAAATATTACTAAAAATAAGTTTTACTAAATTAGATTTTAGAATAACGTAAAAGAATACGTCTAGATATATATAATATATTAAAGAATAATAATATTAAGATATCGCCTATGTAATAAACTTGAATCGCTACCGATACTATTATAGCCCTTTAGCGAACTATTAATAGACTTTATCAAGGGATTACTACTAAGTAAAAATAGAACCTAAAAAATTAATATAGTACTCCCTCTCAGGTCACCGCTCCGTGCCAGAAAAACATTGAAGTCTTCATACAACGATTTTATAGTGCCATAACTGTCCCTCCAGCATTTTTTGATGATATCCTCACAAAGTAGGTCACTTGTTGCTGGGAGATTTTCTGGCTCCGGCCAGCGATCGTGTTCAAAATAGTCATAGTAGAAGACCCGCCATGCTGCGATAGAATAGATGATACATCCAAGGCCGAGTATATCGACTCGTGACAATGGATCTTTCACGCATATCTCTGCCATATCAGCATCCAATGCATACATTGCAGCATTGGCAAAGTCAACGACCTTCAAACTGCCATTCTCGACAAGTATATTGTTGGGCTTGACATCTTGGTGGAGAATTTTTCGAGAATAGATATACCAAAATGTCTCCACTAGCGATTGAATCCACGTGGCGCGAATTGCTTCAGATGGCTCGTCATGGCTTTGAATATAACGTTCCAGATCTCCTTGCTTTGCGTATGCCAACCTGATCGCACCAGTTGATTGATCATGGACACCCAAGTATGAAATAATCCCCTTATGGTTTCCCAGGCGCTCGTAGATCAGTTTCTCGTTAATGATCATATCGCGGAACATCTGATTGTATGGATCATTATTCGGAATGACCTTTGGGTGTTTCACAATTGTATCTTTATCGGCTTCACAGATGATTCCGGAAAAACCAATCGATATACATTTCGGTGGCTGCTTCACGTGCACGATCATCTCGTTACCAGACTGTTCGATGGTTGGGTGCTTAACAACGAAGTAGCTTGAATCTTCAGGTGATTTGGCATTCTATATAGTCAAATTAGTAGGAGGTAGTTGTAGCATTATTAGCTCACTGACATGTTGGAGTTGTGTTTCTGTACCTCCAGATTCAACATCCTCGTCGAGGGTTGGTCTGGCTGTCTCGCTGAGCTGGCAGTGAAAGAGATTGATTCTCCTCATGAAATTGGAGATAAAAAACCAGAGCGATGACCATATGTGCCAACGAAATGGACTGGCAAAGGACAGCATGATTATATGAAGTTGTCAAGTTCTTCCAGTATCCTTAGAAGAGACGTCTCTGCTATGGACAAGATCAAGAGAAGATTGGACCCATGAAGTCAGGGGGAAGGCGGTGAGAACCAACAGAATTTGACCAATAATAATAACGTAATCCAAATATTTAACTAACGTAATTCACTACCGAGTGGTCCACACCACCGAGTGGTCCACCAAAACCAACCTATTAATTTTAAATGTATTTATTTCCAACAAAACGCCATTAAATTATGTAAACTAAGAAATTGATCTATCTGGACATGTCTCTCTTCTATGCCCCGGAATCCTACAAATTCCACATGCCCTAGTGGCCCTAGTAGGTGCCTGCGAAGCCGATTCACCTAGTATGTTAGGGACTAAGGAAGCGACTTCATTTGCTTCCCCTGGCTGCATAATTAATGCAGATGCTTCTAGAACTGAGAGACCCTCGGTGGAAGTTATCTGCTTTCGAGATTTAGTCCGTTTCTGCTTCTTTTTTTCGTTTTCAGCGCGTAAATCGCTTACTTCTTTCTCAAGAAAAGTAGCTGATTGCATTGTAATTTGGCAAGCCTTTAAAACCTGATTTATCGCCGAATTCAGTGGACTCGGGGGCTTCTCGACCTCGTACGAAGTAGCGCTTTGATTGACGAAGCTTGCTTTTGTAGCTGAACACAATTCCAGGGCGTTTTTGGGTTCCAATCGCTTCCCCGGCTCGAAGGGGGGGGGGGGGGGGGGGTCGAGGTTCGAAGGCGAATATTAAGCTTTGAGATTACTTGATCAGGAGAAAAAGGCACTAAACCAGTAGCTGCGAAACTATTTTTAATAGTATCAGAGCGAAAGGCCTCGGTTCGTGCGAAAGGGTAGGCTTCGAGGAAATCAAGTTTATCGATGTGGTTGATCCCGTTCCGCATCTTAATTTCAACCATCCGACCGTATGAGCGTTTTAACACCGCAAAACAACCGATATCGAGCGGCTGTAAAAGGTGTGATGAATGTGCGGGCATGCAAATTGGGATAATATCGTTTTCGGCACAAATTTCATCGAATTTCGGGGTCAAATGACTTCCGTGGCCGTCAAGTATCAACAGTCGATATCTACCCTTTAACCGCGAAGAAGTCGACGGAATAAAGAGTTTTTCGAGCTAACGAAGGCCAATTTCATCGGAGGTCCATCCGTTCGGGCTTACTTCGAATCGCCAATCATTCGGAAGGTTATCGAACCAACCCTCGATAAAAACTTTGCCTTTAAAAATCACGCACGGAGGAAGCGCCCAACCCGAAGCATTTATACACTCGATCGCGGTCACCCACTCGCGATTTCCAGGTTGTAAAAGTGATCGCCGACTGTAGTATTCAGCCCTTGTAACGAATGGTTTTTTGAACGAGCGTAAACTATTCACTAATGATTTTCGGGTCTTCGCATTTCGCGCGCTCGTAATTATAGCGCCTTGAGAATCGGCTTGAGAGTTCGGGATGCCTTTTCACAAACTTTGTAACCCAATTCTCGCCGACTGAAAGGGCTGGAGTAGTTCCCCGCGCCGCGAGAAGAAGATCCGCCATTTCTCGAACCATAGAAGGCCGAGGGGCTGATCCGCGAGAATCCATAGAGAGAATCCATTTTTGAAGCGATTCCTCTTCAAGTTCTGTTAATTTATATGAATTAGCGCGTGAATTCGCGCGGTTAGAGGTGTTTTTTAGACGGCGGAGAAGAGTTGACTTTGGAACTTCGAAACGACGTGCTGCTTCACAAATAGAAGATATCTCTTGCTTCTTAATAGCCTGGATAGCTAATAAGATCCTGCCTTCTTGCTCAAATGAATTTCGAGAGCTTCGGGAGCGAATTGGTGGCATAGTGGGTGGTTGAAGAAAGAAGGTCTAAATTAATTGACGCGTTTCGCGTTGGGTGGACCACTCGGTAGTGAATTACGTTAGTTAACTAGTTAGTTAAGTTAGTTATATTAATAACATTAATAATTGACGGAGGTCGTAGCTAGGCTCAGAGGAAGGAAGGCGAGGCTACTGGACCGCTGGGAGGAGAGATCAGAGAGCTGAAGATGGTCATGGATGAGGCTATTCGGATCTATCTAGAAAACCCCATGGGGGAAAAGGCGGTGAGTCCAGCTGGCAGAATCCCTATGTCAACAATAATTACGGGTGACAGTGATTGAGACGGGACTCGGGTAGCGGCAAAAATCGGGAACATCCCGCAGAGGCTGAGATTTGTCCTGGAAAGGATTTGGGGTATGAGAATAGGAATAGTAGGCACTCATCTACGCAGTTTGGAGAACATATTACGCGGGTTATTGCACAACTTGAGCCATAAAAATTGGCTAGAATGATTGAAATTATCGACAACCTCCAGCCGCCCAGTTAACCGACTTGTTTCTCGCTTTACAGATCATCTTCTCTCGCCAATTATTTACTGGGCGAGCCGTTTTAGATGTTCACCTATGAACTGAAACAGTGCGGCACTTTTCTGGAGCGCGGCATACCTCGATCACCTTTGGCCATGGCCTGCGACAAAAACCGTGGCCTATATAAACAGAGTGCGTGGTTTGACCTTGCATGATTTCCTCACATGAACATTCCGGGCAGTCTTTCGGGTAAATAGCTTCTCACAAAAGGGGCATTTCTCCTGAGGTTGGCCCTCCATCTCACGGTCGTGACGAAGTAGATTACTCCGAGTTGAGAACTCTCGACCATTGCAGTTGTGTTTCCAGCATTGTAGCCTAAGTTGCGATTGCGGGTACGTGGGCATAAGTTCCAAAGGACGGTTTTGTCTCTGGTGATCAAACTCTTGTGGCTGGTCCGAAATCGTCGGTGGTACAAAGCACCGGAGCTGATGTATCGAAGGAAGACCCTCAATCTGTGATCCGGCAAAGTTGAAGTAGGTCTGGCTTGGAAGGATCACAGGCGACATTGGAGAAACATCAGGAGTTTTCCTCTGGGAGATATGGAAACTTGAATTCGAATTCCTGGTTGGCATAGCACTTTGGGTGTTAAGTTTTCTGATAATCCAGTTGAGGCTGGAGCACCTACCCATTTTCTATTATTGTCGTGGGTTCAAGGCTTTCGGAGCCATTTTGATAAGCAAGCGTCAGAGCTCGATCGTTTCCTTGTCTGTGAAACTGTGAAGTGTATTGACAGCCTTCGAACCCGCTGTTTGACATTGTGTGATATGGAGGCTGGCTGCAGTGTTAAAAAGAGATAAGGCACGTAGCTATCATGTATTCCATACCCTATTGATGACCTGAGGGGAGATATATGAGAGCGAGCCACAGTCGTCGCAAGCGGTATTGGTAGATTCCATAGAGAACGATAATGACCCAAACAAGGAGAAGTACCATTAAGTATTCCACCTCCATTTGAAAGCAAATAGAGAATGGACGGAAACAAGGAATTGACCTTACATTTAGGACAAGAATGTATTGCTCATTGCGAAAAACGTCCCTTTTATACGTCAGCTCAGATTTGGTGAGGATAGGTGAGAAGCTGTCGAATTTGGGGCTGGGTAGACTGAGGAGTGGATACAGTCTAAAATTAGTGTGGGCAAGTGTCGTAAGCAATGAACTGTAGCCTGACAGGGCTCCATGACTCTGCGTTTAGATATAGACGTTCTTGAGGCAGTTAATGGCCTCATCTAACTGGCTTGTTGGTTGGTTAGTTAAGTTAGTTACCCACCAGGTAGATGACTCATCCAATCAGAGCAAGCAGAGCAGGGTTGGTCCCATACCATTCTTGAGAACATATCAGCAGAACGAACGATCTCAGCTTAGGCACCTTATCAGCATTAGGAACTCTGTGTAAAATTATCTGCCCACGCCATTCGCAACATCTTGTTCTTTCTGATCCCAAACTTTCCCCCTAAATACTGCCAATCCCGTGAATCCACAAGCTCCTTGGCCTGACGTATTTTGATATAACAATAAAAACCGTCCCGAACGCATTTTGGTATCCCTTGAATCCATAGTCCACATTTGACCATGCCAATAGTCCCATCATGGTACTCGACGCGGAAAAGGATGACTGGTCTGTCAACTGAATCATGATTGTACATAACGCCTCGGAACTTCAGAAAATTCCTGACTTGAACGAGAATATGGACATCTAGAAGGCTCGGCTAATATATGAATGGTTAGCTGGGAAGTGAGCACAAAATAAGCGTAAAATAAGACAAATCTACTTACTGACGGATCGGGAAGCAGGGAAGCTCCTAGAGTAGTTGACTGAGGCTGGTTGGGCATACTGAGGTTCAATATCTCTGGGAGCGATACGCTGCCTTTCCAGGAGGAGGGATAGGAAGTTCGATTATATCTGAGCTTTCCCACGATTGCGTTGAGTGAGTAGACTCTCTCCGAGGTTTGTCTCCTAAATTATATAAGTATTAGAAGGCAAGAAGTTAGGCGTTTAATTCTGCAGGACACAACTCACTTGTGCTATAGTGAAGTGACCGAAAGCCCGGATTCCTTCCCCTCTCGGCTTGTTGGGGATCAGACAATGATGCAGGATCTCTTGAGTCTGAGAGAGTCTTTATATCTGTAGATCTAGATACTGTTTCCTTCCTGTCCTTCTCAACCGTATATTTCGAACTGTATGCTACTCCATCACCTCGAGTATATGGGAGAGTAGTGTTAGGGAATGCTTCCCCTTCTCCTCCCTGTTCCTCTTCAGTACCCCAGACTGAGGAGGAATTGTCTTGGGTGTAGAAGAGAGATGGAATCCAGTTCGGAAGTAGTGATAGGAACGAGAAGTGTGGAAGACAGTCCATTATGAGCTTTAACAAGCCAATGTGCAGAATATGGGGTAACAATGTGAGAATAACTTGCCTCATTATAAAAGGAGTTTTATGTTCTGCCATGGA